TAGACCGTATATTTATTATCTCTATGTGTAAAAAATATGTCTAATGCCTCACTTCGGCAGGCTCCAGCTATCAATACCGAGCCGTCAAAAAACCATATAAACAATATGGATTGAATGGATAGAAGTAGTCCATTGCAGTTTGTTGCCATGCAACAACCATTTTTCAATAATTGCAAGAATGGAGAGTGGTCTGGGGTACCAGTATGTGTGTTGAAGCGCACCCCCAAGAACGCCTGATAGGCAACAGGTTCATCAACCTTGTACCAGGCCGATGTCATTATGTGAATGTTGTTTGAATAAATGCCAAAACGCCGGGGTCATTCCCAGAAACCCAAACCCAATGCATCGTCAGGATCGAACCAGTCGTATCAATAACGTCGTCCAGCTTGCTGGTGTATTCTTTCACAACAAAGAAAAGTAATCGTAGAACGTAAAGTATGTATCAAGAAATGGGACCAGCCTCAAAGTCTCCGAAGAGACGTTGCAGGGTTGCAAGAACACGGACTGTCCTTGACAAACACCCGCCAAGAGTATATATATGATTACATTGATCCGAGTCGGAGAAGGGCTTCAACTGCGGCACGCTCTTCCCGGTCACCCATGACACCCTCCGGGAGGGTGAAGCCGTGTTGTTGAACCGGTAATCTGCGCGGTGCCGACTTCGCCAGCGACGACGCAGCAGGTCCTCCGCCGCGCAGCTGTGGCGAATTATGTGTTCCATTCACGAAGCCTCCCGAGGCGTTCAATGATCGTGCGCGAAGCGCATCAGCACCTATCTGTGCCCAGTCTTCCTCGTCTGTGATGTCTTCTTCGCCCCAGTCTTCGTCCTGCATCTCGTCGTCCGGGGCCTCAGACGACGAGCAGTACTCGCGCTCGTTTCCGTCGAGTGACATCTTGTCAGCCTCATGTTCCAGCATGCTGATATCATGTCCACCGTAGTCCATCTCCGAGTAGGAGAAGACAGCGGAGTCGCCAGTAACGCTACTGCCATAGGGCTGAATGCTTCCCCGCTTTGTAGGGATCTGCATGCCCCGTTGCGGGAAAGAGTTGGAGATACTGGAGGGTGGCGACACGTTGAGGTGTTGTGCATCCCGCAAAGGCTCACCACGACGGCGAGCATCCCAGCGTCCCCAGCCAACCTTCTCGAAGATAACATCACCATCACGGCCACCATTCTTGTCTTCGCTCCCTCGGCCTTCCAGCGCAGCGACCACCAGCCTGCGTGCTTTGGCAGGCGGGATGCCTGAGAATCCAGGGACGCTAGTAGTCAAATAACCCATCAAATGGCGAATAGCCAAAGGGCCATGCTGCAGCATGATCTCCGGGAGATGGCATTTGGCCAACATTCCCGGCGTGATAGCCCCAGTGCTGTCCAGGTCCTGAGCCGACGGACGGGCTTCATGCGAGTTGTTCGTATGATCGGCGGCATCTCCGAGGTCAACATCGGACTCCACATGCGAGGAGCTCAGCGGGGAGTATCCAGGGTGATTAGCGCCCTGGCGTCTGAAGCCCTGCGGAGGCAAAGTGGGGGAAATGGAGTTGGGCGGAGTAGGCAACATGGCAGGATGCCCCGGACGAGCGAAGTCACGACCGCCCGGGGTAAAACCGGAGCGCGGCTTGGGAATATCGACAGAGGCCGTCTTGCCAGCAAGGGCCATAGCAATGCTGGAGGTGGTATTCATGAAAGCCATGGTGATGATCGAGACCAGCGAGAGGATCTAGATACTCTTTTATTTGGGGGGACCTGAGGGTGGCTAATCTGCTTATCAAATGAGTCAGAGGACCATCCGCCAATCACCGCATGAGGCCAACCAATGGAACAGATGACTAAGTCCCACACTCGAAAGAACAAGTTGGGAAGTATAAGATTCACACGTTTGGAGGCAAATAAGGAACGAAACCCGAAAATTGAGATCAAAGGAATTTGGTTGGATTTTTTTTCTTTGAGAGTTGGTACTCACAGTGCACTGTTCGCAAAGGTAGATCACAGTCGGGACAGCTGTGCAGACGCAACGCTGAGGCGTAGTATGCAGGGTAGATGCGATGCGACGCGCTAACTCAGCGTACTACTAGGCAGGAGAGTTGATAGGGAGGATGACGCGACAGGTCGAGACGAGCAGAACCAGGGGCAGGATGATCAAGCCAACAAGAACCGGGGGGGCGGTGGTCAGAAAGCCTTGGGAAGTTCTTTGAGATTTAGGAGTAGTAGGATGAGAGGAGAGGAAGGAGATTTGGCAAGTAGAAGGAGGAAATGAGACGGAGAGGAGAAGGAGGGGGGAAACGCAAGGAGTGGTGGTTGCAGTCCGTCAATAGTAGTAAGAATAGCAATAATGGAATGTCTGTCAGCCGGGAAGGAGGCGCCTTCTTTCGGGGCAAGTAAAAAAAAAAATAAGAAAATAAAAAAAGGACTAAGTATTCCGTAGGTATTATTGATTGGAAATCAGATAAATCAAAAATAAAATAATATGAGGGAAATGCCAGGCTTGAAAGGTACGGTATTTTGTTCCTTCGAAAAGGAGGTAAATTGATTTGATGAACCCCCTCTCTCCGGTGAGATACACAGTCACTAAGTAGTTAGTTAAGTTAGTGTGGGATGACGACCTCCTTTAAGGATGGAACGGCCTTGAATGTCTCCAGTACGACCCTCTTATCATCGACTGACTTATTCAAAGTTCCCCTTATCCATCCTGTCAGACCCAGAACCTCCTTCTTACCGACGCAAGCAGTCCGCCGTCCAGCCCGTGGCCCGGCTGATTGGTTGCCAGCCTCAGGCCCGCCCTAGACAGCGCCGGGAGCTTCCGGGGGCAATCGGCCCTGGTTTTCATTCTCGCGTTATCTTACCGTATTGATGCATTTCCCACACACCGGCTTATCACCCACTGTTCATAAGTTACCGAGAAGTAGTAGATAGTAAGTACTCTGTAGATACTACTACTATTGCAGAAATGCCACTCCATTCTTGGGCTCATGGGGGTTTATTTTTACGAATCAATCAGTATGATTCCCTCCATTCCCTCCCCCTCCATCCTAGATACTTCCGTCAACCACACACATTTCCAGGCTCCAAAGAGTAGTCGGTGACGAAGCCTGTGATACCCGCCCCAAAACCCAACCGACCACAAGTTGGTTGAATCCCACCCCCCAATGAGGTAATTTCAATAGGACGTATACTACAACCACCATCTCCACTTCCTTGGTTTTAAAGAGCAGATGGGAAAGCAAACGTTTCCACTTGTTTCCATCGAGCATATCAAGGCCGGTGCCTCGTGCCCGTGCACCCCTCCCCGCGTCACGGAGGGTTGGTTGCAGGGTTCTTACCCTACGACTGGATTATCCTTCATGGATTTTGTGGTACGCGATAACCTTCCATGATGACGGCACGTGGGTTGTCGGGCACCGCACATGCGCAGGTGGACGCCGTGGTGACTGGCTGTGTGCATCCCACCCTTTAGAGACTTTTTGCAGAAGCCTAAATGTAAAATGTAAGAATGTAGAAGGTGTAAAAATTGTGGACTGTTCCTTGTGTGCGGGAATTAGGGTAGAACTGGGCATTTTAGGTTGCACCGGGATTGCTCTCAATTTTCGGGTTGGCAACGTGATTCTAGAGGGGCATCTAATTGATTGACTAGCGAAAATCCTCTACTGCGTATCTACTTCCTGGGCTCTTTCTTCAACCGCTGGGCCCATTAGATGCTTTCCCAGTGTTTCCGTCATTGCATCATATACATTTTGCTTGATATGTCGACGTTCATTAGACTGTCTGTCTGCTTTTGTTTGGCTCATGCAGCAGGCTTGCATCGAATAGTACGGGGGTGTCATGTCCTCATCGGCCACATCAGGCTGGTTGGGATGTCGGTTGGGGGGGAAAATGGACAGTCGCTAACTGGCTGAGACGGGCTCGTGATGTCTATGCATCTCCGCTCGGGCCTTTTTCTGCTTTGCTTTTTCTTCTCTGGTTTTAATGTCGTTTTGCTTGTGCCGCATGCGATCAACATTCGCCCCCACCAATCGTACTTGAATGAGGAGTGACGGGGGATGGTCCTCCGTCCGTTGAGGTTGATTTTGGACAGAGTATCTTTACACGTTGACTGGCATATTGTCAGGGTGGATAACATTATTTAATAGTGTATTAGGATGCTCGATATATTCTAATAGAGTAGGTATCTGCTGCATAGTGGGTACGTTATTTATATCCTAGTAGAAGTGGACTCAATAAACTAGAGGCTAAAGAAAGACTATTCCCAGCAACGCCGCATCTAAATAAATAGTAATGGTCTATTATTGTCCCTTTCCCCCTAAACAATAGGGATTGGTATGATCTATCACCCCTATGCATATTGGTTAGGAATGCCATAGAACTTTCGATTGCCCGGACTATTTCACAACCACAAGAGAAAAGGCAACCCTTAAGACCCATAGTGGAAAGGCAATCTGCGGGATCTACTTCTGACCATAGGATCTGCCGCAGCCACAGACCACAATAATAAATTGTGGCGAATCTGTGCCACTCTAAAATCCAGGCCATTTTAAATAGCCAATTCTACATTGGTTGTCACATACACAATACAACACACTTTTGCAACTATACAGTAGTCTTCGGGTATATGTACAGTATAACTATAAGAGTGGCTAACAGATGCCCAGTGTAGTGTTCTCCGGTGCTACGAATCGTTCTGATACCGAGGAGCACTTACGGAACTTCTAAGCTTATACAAACATTCCGTAAACATAACCTTTCGTGTAGTTGCATGTTTGACAATATCACAGAAGAAATTGATACAGAAACACTCTCTAGTTTTACATTTTTGCATTCATTTCACTGCGCAAACTACAATGGATCCAAGCGTACAGCTTCCTTTTATTGATATTACTTCCACGTGTCTCAAAACAACCTACCTGCTGCTCATAAGTAGTCATTCGCACCTAAAATGCTAACCGTGCTGCACTGGCAGATGATCACCGTCTGGTATTCCAACCAGGTGAGACCATTCGATCCTGCATTCCAATGTCCCTCACTCTGAATGACTGAGGAGAGAGTGACTTTAATGTGTTACAAACTCAACTCTACATATTTGGCTTACAATACAACTCCAGCGAACTTAGGAAGCCCATGAGTTAGCTGAGCGAAGGAAGTCAGTACCGCAGCCATGCAGCATTATAAGGGCCAGAATACTATACCTTTGCTGAAACCAGACCTCTCTGGTATGGTGGAAAACATGACACTCCTTCAATACCCTGCAAGAGGTCAAGCTGGCGCAAAAGTCAGGCACCCGACCGTTGTCTGACCGTTACTTTGGTCTACAGTTCGGGATTCGGGATGTTGGGAGCGCCAAATATCAAGAATATACTCAGTGTAGCTGATTCCAGCTCCTGCGGTCTACCATAGAGACACCGGGGAAAGGGCACAGGGGATCATCTCTCACGCTGCTTTTACTGAGGCAAGTCCCTCGAAACAGGATCTGTCTCTGTCTGTCACTATGAGAATCGCGTCTCACATTAACTACTCGCAGTGGTTCTACTGAGTGGAGCTTATAAGTGATGCGCTAAGCTGCCACGCCTGGAATTCTAATCTTTCACCAGATTGCCGAGCGGCTAACTTGTCTATAATAACCTGAGAAAGCACTCATAGAGCGCACTAGTAGGAGCGGATTTTGACAGTCCCATCCCCTGTTATTGTGTTGCATACCCCGACCAGCTAAGAAACTAGACCTGTCTCTCACTGGGAGACGTTGGATTGGTATCTCCTACTATACTTCTATCACACAGAACTATCTTTCAAGCGTCTGCGGAGCAATTGGCTACGTTGGTATGAAGTTCTGTTAAAGCTTTACGAATTTCCGGCATTAGGGGTTTATATCAACTGATTCATATAAGCCGAATTAGCTACACAGAATGCTGTCTGCTAATAGCACACAGCATAATATGAGAATACCTTCTACTTTCCCCCAGTAGCCTGTGCATCTGGTAAATCGATAGTTGAAGTGAGCCTTGCCAATATACTACTACTCAGTTATATGCGCAATTCTCTCATATGGCAATATACCAGGCGATAGGAGTTGACTAGGAGTGCTCGGGGCACAACTCGCAATCGCATACCAGGATAGTTACGTAATTCATGACAATTGAGTCTAGATGGATAGGCCACTGAGTCTCTTGTTTCACTTCTCGATAAAAATGTCAATTGAGGGGTGATTTGGAAGGAGCATGTCTCCGGAGTAGGGATGCTGATTGCCTATACTAAATATATTGTCTCTTAGTATTTGCATCAGAAACTACAACACTGGAACTCTAGTACAATGCACCATAAATAGCCAATCCCTTAAACCTCAACTAGAAGAATGACATACGCCAGAACCATCGAGATAAACTGACGATCAACGCTTTATCTCAGCCGACATCAGAGCCGGAGGGTTCCGCTTCCGATCTTATCGGCGCCGCATCCGAAAAGTGCATCTTGCAAAGCCGTTCCACCTTTCGGAATCCCCTCTGCGGGGTTCGTCCCTCTGCCCTTATTCTGGCCCATAATTCGCCTCTCAAAGCAAGCATAATGATTTCCTGTGCCTATTCACCTACCGATCGGTCCACATCTGCGCGTTCACAGCTGTGCAGTCACTCACAGCCGTGCGTTCACCACTGCACGTTCACCCGACGGACCAAACATCGGAATATTCCCGGCGCAATATTCACTGCCATCAGAGTAGGCCCCAGCCGTGCCGAAAATCTGCCTATTAAAAGGCAAGTTTCACCTCAACTATTCTGTGCAACTGACAGCCGTGTGGAAACCCGCGCTAACAATTTACATTCGCAGTTGACGAAGAACGTTGTTGCACATTTACTCACGAAGCTCCACCTAGTACTGACTGACATCATGGTGGGATCTTCCGCTGTGGACTATTCACCAGTTCGCGAAGCTGGGCGCATCTTTTCTTATCTCTGTGATCAAGCTGAGGATCTTAATCTGCCCAAGGAGGTGACTGAGAGCAAAGATGCCGTTTCCTTCTCTTCAACACACGATGAAGTTTACTTTCCAATCCCTTTCAAGGAAACCGAGACACTCGCTGCCCTGAAGGGTGTTGAGGGTTCCGTGGCCGGTGCCATTGCAGACCTTCGCTACGGCCCCTCTGAACAGAAGCGCAACGTTAAAATAAGTCTTGAACGGGCGACTGCGTTTGGTTGCCAGGCTTATATGGCTAAGGTCGACGGGCTGTCCAAGTTGGACCCCGAGGTGAAGAAGAAACTCAAGGGTAAGTTGGCCGATTGAAGCACGTTCAACTTAAGACTAACCCAGACATAGATACCGACTTGCTCGCAGCCCAATCCAATGGCTATCGCCGGATGTCCGCCAATCTCTATAAGACTAAGAACGACAATGAGTTCTTCCACATCCATGGCTCGTTGGAGGCCACCACAACGCTCAACATGATTGGCCTGGAAGGGCAGCGTCCGGACCTGACAGATTACGAGGAGATCATTAAGGTCATCGAGAGCCACGTGCAGAAGTATAGCGCAGCCGAGTTGGAGGAAATGAACAAAGAGCGACGGCAGGCGGGTGTCACCGCGTTCAAGTATGACGACTTCAAGCAGACCCAACATGTATGACTGACTCCTACCATATACACGCTAAAGCAACGCTGACAAGCTACTAGGGAGCGCTAAATGTCCAGCAACCACCATGGAAGGTTAGCCGTCTGAATGGAGACTTGCCTCCCACACCCTTCCCAGCCAGCCGCAGCGGAAGCAAGAGAATTCTCGAAGGTGTTAAGGTCCTAGAGCTGTGCCGCATCATTGCCGGCCCTACTGTTGCACGCATCCTGGCCGAATACGGCGCGGATGTGCTGAAGATCACCAGCCCCAACCTGTCCGATGTACCCTTCTTCCAAGTCGACGGCAACATGGGCAAGCATGCCGCCGACCTGGACCTCAAGAGCGAAGCGGGTCGCCGTCAGTTCGAGGAGCTCGTGGCCGATGCCGACGTTGTCGTGGACGGGTACCGCCCAGGTGCACTTGATAAGTTGGGCTATGGCGCCAATGCTCTTGCTGCCCTGGCTGAGAAGCGCGGAAAGGGCATTGTCTACGTAAATGAGAATTGCTTCGGTTATGAAGGAGAGTGGGCCGGCCGTCCTGGCTGGCAGCAGATTGCCGACTGTGTAAGTGCTGCCTGCAACTTAACACGAGCTATATCACTAACTTGCAACAGGTTACCGGTATCGCGTGGGCCCAGGGACAATTCATGGGCCTTTCCACCCCCGTCGTCCCCCCCTTCCCCATCTCCGACTACGGTACCGGCTGCATGGGCGCCATCGCCGCCCTGACTGGTCTCTACAACCGCGCCAAATATGGCGGTTCGTACCACGGCAAGGCGTCTCTCATGCACTACGACCTGCTGCTCTTTGCCGTGGGTCAGTACTCGGAGGCCATGCAGGAGAAGATGCGTGCCGCGCAGCCAGCGGAGTTCTTCAAGCTCCGTCACTGCGACAGCGTCGACCGGATCTCATCGACCGTTCTGAAGATAATGCAGGCTCGTTTCCCTCACCTCTACCGCACCCCTGAGGAGGCGGGCGCAGAGGCCCTTACGGAGAAGTGGTTCTCTAAGGGATACAACGCGGACATCGAGATCGTTCGCCCGATTGCAGAGATCGAGGGTGTCGACAACTCGTTCATTCGGTCCAGTCGCCCCAACGGTACCGATGCAGCGAGCTGGGAGGATTTTGAGAAAGACGTAGATAGCCGGAAGGCGTGATGGGCCGTTACGTTTACTACAAGTACATAGCAGCACTTGGATAGGACCAGTTTAGTCCACCAATATTACCAGTAATGAAACCTCACCACGAATCATCCGAAGTAAACCACATAGAGATAGAAAAGAAAAGACTAGCCAAGTTATACTATTAAACACCTTACGCAAGAAAAAACAACTCCCCCTCAGCCAAGCCGGATACCATAACCAAACCGATCGGATCCGATAAACGCCATCCCATCCACCATCGGAAGTCCCATCCATCGGCCCGACAGATCTTCTTCCTTCTCCCCTCACTAGAGTTATTACTTACATCACCGATGTATGCAGCAGCATCCATTTAATTAAATAAAAGTATACCAATTCCTACCCCCTCACAACCCACCCACCTTCGTACACCACATCCACATCCACAACACCATACATACACTCAACTCCCAAAATCCAAAGAAATCAAATTCAAAATGACCTACACCATCACCTCCCCACCCCCCTCCCTCTGCCCGCCCACCAGCGCCGCCATGATCTCCTTCCTCGAGAACTTCTACCGCATCAGCGACACCGAATCCCTCCACAACGACTACGCGACGAATTTCACGGAAGATGCGACGCTCATTATGGGCTCGAAGGTTGCCAAGGGATTGGATGGTATGCAATCGCAATCACAATAAATGCGACCCTCTCTTTCTTTCTTTTAAAACAATCAAATCAAATTACCTTGATTCTTATATACTACATGGGGCTGATTGATAACAATGAATTATTAAATCTAGAGATCTTGAATTTGAGACACGGTCTCTGGACGCACGTCGCGCGCCGCAAACACACCCCCGAGCGGGTGTATTTCGGTGCGGAGAGAGAACTCATGCTATATGGGACGGTGAGGTATGTGCTCAGGAAGGATGTCGAGGCTGGGAAGGAGGAGGATGAGATTGAGGTGCCCTGGGCCGGGAGGGTCGTGTTTGATGAGAAGGTTGAGAAGATGCGGTTTTATCAGGTTTATTTGGTATGTCTCTCCCCCCCCCCTCTCTCTTCCACATTCTCTATACTTTGTCCCTTGTTTGGTTTTTCTGGGGGGTATATGGTTTGGCTAACTGTGTATCTCTTGTGTGTTTAGGATCCGACGGCGCAGGGTGGGAAGAAATGAGTACTTGGTACTGCGGAGGAGTAGGTTATGGGGTTAGGATTGGGTTGGTGAGAGGGAGGAGGAAGAGTATAGATGTTGATAAGTTGGGGTTATCTCGTTGACATGAATGGGCATTGCATGGTGTATATAGTTGGTTTTTTTTATATATGGTTGTATACATTGCATTGTTCTTGATGTGGTGCAATGGGACGTAGCTGAGGGCTGTATACTTCAGTCCCTTATATCGTTCGGGACGTGGCTCTATACATCTATCGGGAGAGGAAGTCTACCTTATCAATACAATAGGCGAAAGATCTACACCATGTATAATTGTCCTTTATGCCCGCAGGAACAACCATTTGATCGATAAAAAGAAAAAGGTAGTAGTAGTCAAGTCATCCTCTCCCTGTCATAGCCACTCATTCGTCCCATATTCCATTTCCCATCTAACCCAACGCACCCCCCCAACGATGGCCCCGTTATCTGTTGTGAACCCCCAGATCCCGCGCGGGATTTGGTGTCACAATGACAAACGGGGAGTTAAAGAAAAGCAAAGAAGCTTAGCCTGGCTCAGCTTTCGATAGGGAGTGTGCCAGGAAGGTAGGGAAGACAGAAGGTAAGGGTTCGGAGAAAAAGAGTAACATCAGGACTTTTTCATTATTTTAGCTCGAGCATCCGGAGAGACTAATTTACTCCTCGTCCTCCTCCTCGTCAACGGTGGTCTTGGCGATACGGTCAAGATCACGCTGGCCGCTCTGGGTGATGCGGCGGCCACCCTTCTCCTCATCGTGCTCGAGGACACCGATCTTCTCGAGGGACTGGATGACCTTACGGTCGACGGAGCCGGAGGCATCGACGTGGTGGGCGGGGCGGGAGCCGCGGTTCTTGGTGGAACCGTGGACCTTGCGGAGACGGCCAACACCGACGGTCTTGCGCATGTAGATGTGGCGAGCGACGGCAGCGGCGCGGACGTAGTACCTATTGCAGATTTCTATTAATCACGCTGTTTTTTTTTTTTTTTTTTTTTCGAAGTATTGGATCAATGGCAGTTGTCGTACCAGTCGGCGTCCTGGGGAGGGAGCTCGTTAGAGCAGGAGGTCTTGACAGTGTCAACCCATCCTAATAACCGTATTAGTTTTGATCTGATTGTTACGACTTTTCGATGAAATCCGGTGTGCACGAACCAGGAATGGGGAGCTTTCCCTGACGCTTCAGGAAAGCAGAGTAAGCAGCGATGAACTTCTGCGCCTATAACCATGGAAAAGGAAACCTGTTAGCTGATCCGTCCACAGGCATCGTGTATTGAAGATTGTCTGGCAGGTGCGCATTCAGGCATGATATGGCATATAGCATGGCACGGCACGTATCGGCAAATCTGGACATTTCTCTGCGTGTCGCGGCGGCAGGAATTCCAGTTCGTTCCTGACTCCATAACATCCATTTCATCCAGAATTCCCATATTCCATAATATATGGCTGGAGTACACAATCGTGGTAGTCGTGCATTGCGTATTCCCATTCCAAGCCCATAAACTCATCACATCTCATGCCCAGAGTATATGTACCCAGCCTTGCTTGCTTTGCTGCATGCGCCCAAATTCGATATCAAAATGTCGATTTCTGCTCCGTTGAATGCCGATACCATGTGTATTTCCCATTCCTGTCGTTCTTTTCTTCTCATTTTGTCCTGATCGTGCCGTGCCATACCATGCCATGCCATATATCCCATCCATTCCGCACCGACCAACCAATCTCCAAAAGTTGACATGACATGACTTACGTCGACATCGCGAACGGTGACACCACCCATTTTTGCGACTTGTTGAACCTCGAACGGGGAATCGAAGAGAGGGACGAGGGAGGGGTGGAGGGGGATGGGTCGGTCGTTGTCGTCGTTGAAGGGGAGTCGGGGTCAGGTTTCGAAAGCCTCGAAATTTCGGATTCGCACACAACTTTGCGCGAGTAGTGCTTCTCGGTTGGCTGTGGGCGCTTCGCTTAGCCTGTTTGGGTTAGCCGTACCCTAAGTTGGTGCCTGGGGCAGAATTGGCATGGGCGGTGAGTTAGTATCGTGTCATGTGACTGGGGTCGTGCGTTCAGGCACACAGTTGATGCCTTATTCTAGTTCAATGTAGATCCGTGATTACTTAGCAACTAGATAACGAGCATATTCAGCATACGCATTTCTCTATTTCATCTCCATCCCTACTGTACAGTCTATGGTATAATTATCGTGATTCATCAGGAAAACCCATTATCCTCCATTACAAGAAAAAAAAAAGGAAAGGAAAAAAAAAAAGAATAACCCGAAATCATCCTGGCCAACGCCTGCCTTCATGCTAAACCCAACTCAGTCTTCCTACAGCGTGGGCGCCCGCTTCAGCCCAACGCAGTATCGCACAAATAGGGTATCAATAAAGTGTTCGTGGCGGATACCTGGTGGACGTCGCCGTTCGAACTCCTCGATCGCTTCCGGCACACTGAATCCGCGCCGTTCGATCAAGTATGAGACAATCAAGAATCCCGTGCGGTTGAATCCATAGTGGCAGTGGACTCCCACCACCGGACGTGGGCCATCGGGATTGCCGGATTTCTCCATCTTCTCGGTTATCTCATTCTGTAGTCGGTCTACTAGAGCGATGAAATCGCGAACCTCGTCGGGAGTAGGGGGGATCTTTGAAACCGTGGGATGCTTGTGGTAGTGGATGCCGCCCTTCTCCATCGACGCGGGATTGTATACCGGATTTTCGTAGCTGATATCAATCACGGCATAGATCTTGTCGCGGTAAGCTTGAGAAAACAGAACAGGATTGTGTTCTTCGTCCACCTCCCGGAGCATCTTGAGGGCCGCGAAGGTGTCAGCGATTCTTTCCGACACTGGTGCGACCTTCTTCCACTTGGCCAGATTCTTCACGTCCCATTTGCCGGACGTATTCAAATATTGCAGCTGCCAACCCATGCTGAGGCGGTTATCGATGTGCTGGCTGAGAAAATCTTGGATGATCCCGGCGAGAGTGCGGTATGTTGCACGGTCGTAGATCAGTGCATGAGACGCCGGAGCAGGCAAGACAACAGTCTTGACCGACCGCCGAGATCCCGGACGATCAGACTCACTTGTCATCTCCTTCTCTTCAATCTGTGGTTCCACCCCGAACTCCTCTTCGTGTGCCCGCCGATCATATGATGCCGGCATCGTATCGTGAACTTCGGATGCATCGGGAATGGAGCACACTCCATCCGCATCGTCATCCACGCTACACCCTGCTCGGCCAAAGAACTCCAGGATCTTTTTTAGCTCTGCAGGCTTGTTTACCGCATCTGCTTCACCAGCCACTAGGAGAACGGGCGTGCGCACACCCGCCCAAACATCCTCGCCTGGGATGCCCCCAATGGGCTTGCCATTGCTGTCGTACGAAGGCAGTGTTCCCCATGCCATTCGTCTCCACACGGCCGTTTTGCTTTGCTTGTTATAGCGGACTTGAAGGCCTCTGGTATCGGGATCTGCTGCTGCGCCGACAAGCCTGTTCACGCTGGTGCTATGTAAGCCGCCCCGCCGATCCCAGTAGCGCCAGAGGTCAAAGATCGGGCTGGGTACGTGGAGGAGCCGACGGAATTTGGCGACATCATGCGGGGGCGGGGGCCCAGCACGAGGGCAAACGGCAATGAGACCGAGGATATGTTCTTGCAGACCAGCGCCTATCAAGGACGTGGAGGACGCTAACAGTGCTGACAGCGAACAGCCTAGACTATGGGAGATCAGAACCACTCCTTGGCCTGCCTCTTTGTCTCGATGCTGCTCAATGGCTGTAGCAAGCAATTCTGCCAGCGCTTCAACAGTATACGCGTCCCAAGAAGTGGGCGAAAAAGACGATAAGCCGCATCCAGGGAGGTCGATCCCAAAGCAAGGTCCGACATTGGAAAGACTCGTAAGCAAATGATTAAACTGCGCAAGAGATCCACCCAAGCCATGCACAAAAACCAACAACGGAATCGGCGAGGGCTTGGTGGGCAATTTGTCCTTTTGAGGATGCGGACGGAAGAACGTTCTGATAGAAGGGTATGTTGCAGTAGATGTTGTGTATGATAGGTATGATGAGTGCTTCTTCAGGAGACCTGGATCTGTATCGTGGGCTTGTTTATGTCAGTATATAATATTGAAACACCGAGGTAGTACCAACCATTCTCGCTCTGCTTCTGTTGAGGCACTTCCGTCTTCTCAGCAACCGTGCCTTCAGTGCCATGGCGTAGAGACCCTGTGCTATCGTAGTCTTCCTCATCTGAGGAAGTGACCATCCCTTCAGAGCGCTTGGAGAAGCCTTTGCGTGTTCGACGAAAACGTGCCTTGCCTGAAACTTGTCCCCACGCCTTGCGGCGCAGGACGGAAGAAATGACACCGCATCCCACCATGGTGACGAAACAAGAAGTCAAGAAGACGACTTTTCCCCAGTTCACCGTGCCATCGTAGCTATATGCCTGAAAAAGACGAGCGAGTGAAGCAAAAGCACCAGACTTTGTGATGGCAGTGTAAGTTGAATCCCAAAGACGCAGAGAAGCACCAAGATCCACAAGACCGGACCGAGAGGTGGTAGGGGAGGTTAGAGGGACATCTGTCGACCCCATCCCCGGCGGCGACGAAGACAATGTTGGGGATACTTATATGACTACCGAATGGTCCAGGCGCGAAGCTGCGTCGCCCCTAAACAGGAACCTCTCTACCGCTCACCGATCGCCCAGGCCTTAACACTCAGTGTCAGGGATCCCTTAGTTTAGGGACCAACGATCGGGAGCGAGGCGGATCCGTTCTGGAATGCGAGTCGAAGTTCACACGAGCCGAGAGAACGGCACCTCTTTGGCGGGTCAGGAGAGTCTCCGGGATCGATAGTGAGGCAACGGAGCGGGTCGATCGAAACACTCAGCAGCCGGGAAGCCCAACGATAGCGCGCTGTGAGGCAACGAGTCTGGAATAGACTAATTTGAAGGTAAGGAGAGCTTGTTCTTAGGCACGACTTAAACTGTACCCCGGGATGGTTTGGACCAATGAATGCTGGGTATCTGTCACGTTGGTCTGCTGGCTGGGCCTAGGGGGTTCCGAACAATCTGACAGATCCACCAGGTCTTTATTCAAACCAAAGCAAGGAGGAGGACGGCCTAATTTGTTTTAAGGATTGTTTCCAACCGAATGACGACGATATCTCAATTGTTGGTTGACCCAAGTAACCTCCGGGTCACATGGAGCTTTTTGACGCGGAGATTCCAGTCGGCGGGACGGTGATGCGGAGGATGATGCGCCTGATGTCGCAAAAGAACTGCGAGGCCGGTCAGCTATTGATCCCAACGCCACCTAAAAGCCAGTTGTGCAAGAGACTCAAAGAGAGTACAGCATCGAGTTTCAGAGTGATGGTGGCCGGAGTTTGGCAGCGGCGGGCGCGCTCATACCTAGCTTCTGTGCAGCGCCAGCAATAGAAAATCGCAACCACACTTTGCGACTGAGGAACGCAAACCTTAACTGGCGTAACTGCAGGCGGGCTGGAATCGCGGAGCGGAATCCGGAAGAGAAGCAGAAATGGTGGCGGATAACGACAGGGAGCGGCGACAAACAACAGGCCTGTCAGAGGGTCGGAGGCAAGACCGTGGAGGATCTGCGATACTTTCGTTCGTCGCAAATTTGCCGGCGGTGATTCACATCCACTCATGGCGTCACGCTGCAGCTCGGTGGCTGACTCATCCCGCGCTAGTCCTCATGAGGTCGCTCGGGTGCCGGAGTTCTTGCCGCTCCAAACACGAGACCATCTTTCGTAGATGAATCGGAGGATTGTATACAGAAATGATCCTTTTTGAAGAATACAGGGCCAGCCAGGCATCATTGTTCTTTCGATTTCATTCATTGTTTTGATTCCTGATGTGTACATAGTATCAAACTATTCCAGAGTACTACCATGACAGGACAGCTGCGTCATTGGACAAGTCTCCACAGCCAAGTTGGGTTATAGTATGGATACACCTTGAGAGATAAATAAATCATTGAGAAACTGGGAATTGGACCATTCATGCCAGTCCACTCCCTAAAATAGATCCGTCATGGCTCCGTTCGAGGCATCTCCCACCAACCGGGCATATTTGGCCAGCACACCTCGTGTGACATGCGGTGCCGGGGGCTTCCACTCCCGCAGACGCTGCTGCACCTCCTCATCCGATACATCCATGGTGATGGCGTTCGATTCGGCATCAATTGTGATCACATCGCCGTCCCGAACAACGGCAATGGGTCCTCCTACAGCAGCTTCAGGGACAATATGCCCCACAATGAATCCGTGACTAGCGCCAGAGTACCGCCCGTCCGTAATCAGTGCCACGTTGGTGAGCTTGGCTCCCATGAGCGCTGCACTGGCCTTCAGTTGTTCCGGCATTCCCGGGCCACCCTTCGGGCCCTCGTAACGAACTACGATAACCAGGTTCTCGCCGTGAGGGATCTTGCCCTGGTTCAGGGCCTCGTTGAGCTGATGCTCCTTGTCAAACACGCGCGCCTTACCCGTGAACCGGAGCCCTTCCTTGCCGGTAATCTTAGCAACCGCACCACCGGGTGCAAGGTTACCTCGCAGGATCTGGAGGTGGCCCGTCGCCTTGATAGGGTTATCCAGGGGACGGATGATGACCTGGTCAGCAGACAGAGATGGGTGCGATGCGACGTTCTGGGCCAGAGTTTTGCCGGTCACGGTGGGGATATCGCCGTCGAGCAGACCAGCTGCGATCAACAACTTCTGAACCGACGGGATGCCTCCGACTTCGTAGAGGTCCGCCATGTAGTATTTCCCACTAGGGGACAGGTCCGCAATGAAAGGGATCTTGTTGCTGACCCGCTGAACGTCGTCCAGAGTAAGGTCCACGCCGGCAGTGCGGGCCATAGCCAGGAAGTGAAGCACACCATTGGTGCTACCTCCCAGGGCCATAGTCATGACCAGGGCATTCTCGAACGCCCGCTTGGTCAACAGATCCCGAGGACGGATGTTCTTCTCCATGCAAATCTTGATGGCTTCAGCTGCCTTGACACACTCACGCATCTTAGTTGGGGAAGATGCAGGCGTAGAAGACGAGCCGGGCAAGGAGAGACCCATGGACTCAATGGCCGTAGCCATGGTGTTGGCCGTGAACATACCACCACACGCTCCCGCGCTCGGGCAGGCATGCCTCTCCAGATCATCCATGATCTCGTCCTTGGTCTTGCTGGTATCACCTCCGTCATCCGGCTGACGGAGAGTGTTATATGTGTAGGCACCAGCCGCTTCGAAGCACGTCGAAACGCTTACCCGCTTCCGAAGAAGCTGGGAATACCCAACCTCGATAGTACCACCGTAGAGCATGATCGAGGGCCGATTGTGTCTCGCCATACCCATCACCACACCAGGCATGTTCTTGTCGCATCCGGGGATGGCAATGCAGGCGTCATGGTATTGAGCGCACGTTACAGACTCCACACTGTCTGCAATGATCTCACGGGTTTGGAGAGAAAATCGCATACCTAACATCCTATTAGAAAGGGCTAGAATATTGACGTTTGTTCAGCACCAACCTTCACTCCCCATGCCAATCGCATCCGACACACCAATAGTATTGTACTGCCACCCGATCATGCCTTGGTCCGTGATCGCCTTCTTCACCGTCTTGGCCAGGTCCAACAAGTGCATGTTGCAAGGGTTGCCTTCCCACCACACAGACGCAACACCAACCTGGGGACTCTTCGTCATGGCATTGTGATCGGGGATGCCTGCCGCGTAGAGCATAGCCTGTCCAATTCACACGAGGTCAACACTCGTCCAGAATCTGCGGGGAGAGCAACGGGCAAGAAAACTGAATACAGACCTTCGCGCCAGGGAACTCATGGCCCCTGGTGATAGTAGAAGACCAACGGTTCAAGACGGGGGTACCATCTTCGTGTTTTGTGCCCTCTGGTACGCAGGGAAATTCAAGGTACTTGGCCTCCCCCAAAGTGGATGACACGGCAGGTTTGGCGGGGTCCATTGTGCAGAGTCTGGAAGGTTGAAAGAGAGAATAGGACTAGAGGAGAACAGAAGGGATTGAACAGCTGCACTGGCCAATGGCCCATATATGGAGGGGATGGAGGATGAGGGGTGACGAGAGGCTATACCGAGCTCCGTGTTGTAAGTGTGCGTTCTGCACTCCAGAAGCCCCTCGTTCGCCTGGAGACTCGGAGGTACGGCGAGCGAGTGCCCCGGTTCAGTCGGCGAGCAGTCCGTTGCGGGGAAGACACGATCCGCGGTATAATCACCCTCGATCTGATTAGCTGCACTTGATGCTCGGGGGGAGGAACCGCTGGTTGTGATTCGAGCAGTCGGGCAGCTTGGGTGGGGGTTTTGCTTGTGAAGGGTGGGCCAGCCATCACCGCCGATGGTCCAGAGGTAGAGAATACAGTGAGTGGACTACTGGATATGTCTACTATTACTGCACTGTTTGTGAGCACATAAGAGGTTGAGAGGAGCATAAGGTGCTGGGTATCTTCCATTAATTGCCAACTCCAAGCAATAACTGTCATCATCATCCATAGCATGACACCAACGACTGGACTTAAACTGGCTATGTGCCAGACGATGCAATGCTACCCTCAGTGACCTCCAAACAGGATGCCGAATCTCTACTGTACTGATCCGTTCGTCTCTGATTCCTCATCTTGTACCTCTTCCAGTGCATCCTTCTCGATGGTCGACCATTGACTTGAGTGGTGAAGCGCCTCATCAGACGTCACCTCCTGCAATGGGCTTGTTTTCCCAGTGCTATCCCCCGCCACCAGTTCGTCCGCGCCGCTGTCATCGCCATCCACCGCAAACCCCACCATCTTTCCCGAGCTTGACTGGGGTCGCGTTTCTTCCAGTACATCGCCATTCCAGGGTTTGCATTTCTTCACAATCTCGCCACAGCGTAGACAGACCCAGCCTTCTCCTTCCTCGCCTTCGAGCTTCTGTACAATACAGACAAAACAATATATACAACCGCAGGGTATAATTTCATAGGGGTTAGTTATATCCGTTTGGGCTGACCCAACAATACCTCCCGACGAGGCTGACGCGGCTATGGCTTCACCCTCTGTTGTGGACGTGGGGTTATTGTCTTTGTAGCAGATAGCGCAAGTCCTTTCTGGGAGGAAAGCCAATTCTCCCTGCTTTCCGGTCTGTTCTTCGTCCTCGCTGCCCGATTTGAGGGTAGACAGTGTCTTCCGCCACAGTCTAGAGAGCCATCGACGCCACCGACTGATACCCACGAGCGGCAAAAGGAAGAGGAGAAATTCGGTCATCGCGTGCCACACAAGTTGACGGTTAAGATATTCAAATGACACCTCACGGCTCGCCTGTGCAGAAGGTGGAATCAAGCGCATACGAAGCACGCGGTCGACCAGG